AAACCCTAAACCCTAAACCCTAAACACCTGTGCCATGGTGCACCCAAATACTCGCTGCTCAACAGCGCTGCTCGTGCTGGTTGCTCTGGCACATGTAGTGCACCATAACTTCGTGGCTGCTCCCTTTCCGGCACTTCGGGTTCAGACCTCCTTGCGCCGTTCTAGCATTGTCAAGACGTGCGTGTTGCGCAAGGCAACGCAGGGTCAAACTCAAAGGGTTAGGGCATTGGAGTCGTGATTTTATTTTCCCTGAGGTGGGCGCAAATCAGCATTGGCCGTATGGACTAGTGGATGCTCAGAGCTCTGATTTCTATGCCCGTAAGTTGGATGGCGACTTCTTCGCCGATGTCAAGAACAGCGACCTTTTCCTGCAAGCTTTGAAGGAAGATGCCGGCGAGATCTCCAGCGAGCAAATCTCGTCCGGGTAGACCGGGAAATCCGTCATGATGGCCTGGAGGCTCGTGGCAAACTCCGCGCCGGAGCGAGCTTGGAATGCCGCGTCACACAGCCTCGTAGAACTTTTGGTGGGTCCGTACTCACGTGGTCTCACCATCATCTCTCCCCGGTGCGCCGAGAGCCTGGGGGATCGCGGGTGTGAACTGCTCGATTTCCTGTTGCCTGAATTTTCGGCTGCCAAACCCCGGCTGCAGGGTCTCTGTGGCCCTTCCTTGTCGCCGTAGCCAGCTGACGCAAAGGGGTGATGCGCGTAGGTGAGCTGCCAGTCGACCCCCACTCCAGAACTGTTTCTGGCAGGCAGAGCAGACGGAGCCCTCCATGTAGTTCCTGTACTCCGCAACGCGTTGGTGCTTCTTGAAGAAGTGCAAGTACCATACTTGAATACTTTTTTTGGTACCTGTCCCTTAAAGGAACCATTATGAAATAAACGTCTGTATTTTTTCCCCCTGGTTACTTCAAAGTCCATGCTCTGAGCCCTCAAGGTTCCCTCGTCTGATTGCCAAGGCCCCGACGCCCTGAACCTGGAAGCCTAAACCCTTAACCTTACGTTCTGAACCCTATGAACCCTTAATCTCCAACCCTCCAAACCTTACACCTGAACCCTAAACCCTATCTCTAACCCTAGATAGCCCCAAACCTTACACTCTGAACCCTAAACCCTCAGTCTCCCAGTACAGTTGGAAAAAGGCCCTCAAAAAAATTCAATCTCTCATCCTAAACCCTGAACCCTAACCCTAAATTTTGCCCTAATTAGCCCCGAAAAGAGGCCCTTAAAAAAAAAAAATCCTAAATTTTGCCTTAATTAGCCCCAAACCGCCAGACCCGGCTTCCGTTTCAGGTCCCAAAGGTGGAAGGGTTGAGAGCCGGAGCTCTGAAGCGCGGGGGCCCGGCTTTTCTCGGTGGGATTTAGGGTTTAGGGTTTAGGAAGGAGTTCAGAGCTTAGGGTTTAGGGGTTCAGACGGTTCAAAGCTTACATGTGACCCCAAACCTTACAAAATAGTAGGTTATGACCCCTTAATTAGAGGGTAAAATAAGACGGTAGGGTTTCGGATCCCCAGGCAGGGTTTATTGAGGCAGTCTTGGGACAACCCAGTAGCGAATCACTTGTGGATCAACTACATAAGGGTTTATTGGGTATAGATGTAGAATTTAGGGCCCGCTTTTTTGGGGGGATGCCATTTGGGGGGCCTTCAGCCTTAGGGTTTTGGGTGCAGTGCTGGAGAGTTGTTTTGAACACTAAACCCTCCTTAAACCCTAAACCCCTAAACCCTAACCCCTAAACCCTAAACCCTAAACTCTACCCCTAAACCCTAAACCCTAAACCCTACTTTAAGATTGGGGGTGTAGGCTTGCGGGGTTTCGGGAGGAAGCAGGCCTCGAAGGATTTGGGGCTTTTGAGGTGCTTTGAGGGTTTAAGGTCTATAGGGCTCAGGGTTTGGAGTTTGTGATGCAGGGCTTCAGGGATTTTGTCGTGCAGTGCTAGACGAGATATTTAAGGGCTTCCGCGAGTTTAGACTTCGATGTTTGAGGGCTGCAGGGGGCTAGGGAACTGGTCGCCGAGGGTTTGCGGGTTTAGGGTTTGCGGTTCAGAGTTCGGGGTTTTCGGGTTTGGGGTGCTTCGAAATCAGGATTTGGGCTTCGGTTCGGGATTTCGGGTTTTTGCTAAACCCAAACCATATAAACCCTAAACCTAAGGGAGTTTCCGAGAATTGGGGTACCTTATTTTAGATCCTACTATTTCGGGTACTATATTAGGGTCCCTTATTTTCGGAAACCCCCAATCAGGTTTCCAGGGCTTGGTTTTTTGCCATCTTACGAGCTCCGGCTTTCGGGCTTTCGGATTCGGTTTTTGAAGGCTTTTTTGGCTTTAAGGGCTTTGAGGTTCGAGGCATATGGGGGGTTATCAACATTATGGTCGCTTTTTGGGTACCCTAAATCTTAGGTGACGTACTATAATATGGACCCCCCAAAGGGGCCATAGTTTTGACAACTACCCGTACCTAGACCACCAAAAGTAGGTAAAATAATGGCCCAAAACCTATAAAATGCTATTATTCTATATATATATATATATATATACATACACTTATGCGGTCCA